TATTTTAATTGTCCACTCCATGAACTGCAGTTTTGTTTTAATGGCTACTGTTTGATGTAGCACACGTAAAAATATCTTCCATGAGCTGTATCCACACAATACAATGAAATATAATGAAAAGGTATGACCTCCTTGTTTACCCTAACTTTTACTAACCATGTTATCAGTTAGCTGATTAATACAAAAAAAATATTATATTACAATATAAAAAAAATATTCACCACTGTAAGTCCTCATAACTGCTTAAATTCTCAAATGAATGGAAAGCTATATAGCAGTAGAAACAGCATAATTATGTCTTTTAGGAATAATACCAGATGGAACTTTGAGAGTCAACTGATACAGTTGACTAAATCACTGCAGTGGGTGAAAAAATTAGTGCATGTATTGGATATGATTGCTCTGCAGATCAGCTGCTCTTGTTAACATCTGAAGTAGACTGATTTGCACTAGACATGTGTGAGTAAGTGTGTGTATTCAGTGATAACAGTTACAATATCAGTTTAATATATCACCTTTATTTGTCTTGGAGTGAAATGAAGTTAATTCACAGTCCTTCCATCAGTCTCATAACTTCAAGGCAAGGCAAGGCAAGGCAAGGCAAGTTTATTTGTATAGCACAATTCAACAACAAGGTGATTCAAAGTGCTTTACAGAGACATTAGAAACAAGAACAAATAAAAAGCATGATTTAAAATTGAATAAAACAAGCAAATAAACTAACTAACTAATTAACAAACAAACAAACAAACAACAGTATATAAAATCAAAACAGATAAAATCAGAACAGTAGATAAAATCAGTAGTTAAATGTAAGTTTTGAAATTTAAGCTTAAAGTGTGGATTTGGTGCTTTATTCAAATGCAGCTGAGAACAGGTGAGTCTTCAACCTGGATTTAAATAAACTGAGTGTTTCAGCTGATCTGAGGCTTTCTGGGAGTTTGTTCCAGATATAAGGAGCATAAAAGCTGAATGCAGCTTCTCCGTGTCTGGTTCTGACTCTGGGAACTGATAAAAGACCGGATCCAGATGACCTGAGGGATCTGGATGGTTCATACTGGGTCAGGAGGTCATTGATGTATTTTGGTCCTAAACCATTCAGAGCTTTATAGGCCAGCATCAGAACTTTAAAGTCTATCCTCTGACAGACAGGCAGCCAGTGTAAGGACCTCAGAGCTGGACTGATGTGGTCCACTTTTTTGGTCTTAGTGAGGACTCGAGCAGCAGAGTTCTGAATGAGCTGTAGTTGTCTGACTGATTTTTTAGGTAGACCTGTAAAGATGCTGTTACAGTAATCAAGCCTACTAAAGATGAATGCATGGACTAGTTTTTCCAGGTCCTGTTGAGACATCAGATCTTTTATCCTTGAAATATTCTTGAGGTGATAGTAAGCTGACTTTGTTATTGTCTTAATGTGTTTTTCTAAGTTTAGGTCTGCATCCATCACTACACCCAAATTTCTCGCCTGGTTTGTGGTTTTTAGATGTATAGATTGAAGTTCTCTGGTGACCTGTAATCGTTTTTCTTTGGCGCCAAAGACTATTACCTCAGTTTTGTTTTTGTTTAGCTGGAGAAAATTGTGGCACAACCAGTCATTGATTTCCTCGATGCATTTACCAAGAGCCTGTACAGGGCCTCGGTCTCCCGGTGACATTGTGATATATATTTGTGTGTCATCTGCATAGCTGTGATAGTTTATTTTGTTGTTGTTTATAATCTGTGCCAGTGGGAGCATGTAAATGTTAAACAGAAGGGGTCCCAAGATGGAACCTTTGGGAACTCCACATGTGATACTTGTCTGCTCAGATGTGAAGTTACCTATTGATACAAAGTATTTCCTGTTTTCTACGTATGTTTTGAACCAGTTTAGTACAGTTCCTGAAAGACCTGTCCAGTTCTCCAGTCGTTTGAGTAATATGTTGTGGTCAACTGTATCAAATGCTGCACTGAGATCCAGTAAAACTAGGACTGACATTTTTCCACTGTCTGTATTCAGACATATGTCATTAAACACTTTGGTCAGAGCGGTTTCAGTGCTGTGGTTCTGTCTAAAACCTGACTGGAAGGCATCGTAGCAATTATTCTGTTTTAAGAAGTAACTGAGCTGTTGAGAAACTGCTTTTTCAATGATCTTACTTAAAAACGGGAGATTTGAGATCGGCCTGTAGTTGTTCATTTGTGTCTTGTCAAGATTGTCCTTTTTCAGTATAGGTTTGATTACAGCAGTTTTTAGTGATTCTGGAAACACACCTGATAATAAAGAAAAGTTGACGATCTGTAACAGGTCTGACTCTAAAGTCTTTGAGACCTTTTTGAAAAAACTTGTTGGCAGGACATCTAAACAGCAGGAGGAGGAGTTCAGTTGACCTAAGATGTCCTCCAGGTCTTTGCTGTTAATAGGTTGAAACTGTTTCATGGTGTTTAAACAGTTTTTTGGTGGACACAGTACATATCCTGGATCTGCTGTTGATGTACCAATTGCTTGTCTAATTTTTTGGATTTTTTCAGTGAAGAATTTGGCAAAGTCATTGCAGGCCATGGTCGAATGAAGTTCAACCATGAGACAAAACGTTTGATTAAAAACAGCTTTGCTAATTGAAATCATGTAAAATTTTTCTCAGCTGGATTACATCAAAGGGACAATTAAATGTGATCTCTTGTATGTTTTCAAATTGTATAGACATAAATTAATATATGAAGCTTCTTTTTAATCGTTCAAATAATTAGTGATATGAGAGCTCTCCGTTAACGTGCAGTAAATTATTAGCAAAACAATAAGTGATGAACACAAAACATAATTTTGCTGAATGACCACAATGACCACAGATAGAGGACACTGTTCACTGCTCACCAACCTGCCTGGTGTTTTATTATCATAGCTCACAAGTCAGCGGCCAGAACTGTAAAATATTATCTAAGTACAAAAAGACTGAATTTCTAGTTTTCAAAGCTGCTGCTGCTGCCACTGAAAACACATGTAAAATACAGGAATGTTTATATATATTCTCTTACAGGATTAAATAGCAGTTCATTAAAAGTCTATTCCCACAGATACAAGCTACACAAATAAAGTCCCCAGCGTTCCACTTCAAGGTCTGTGTGTATATTTTTAAAGGGTCTTTATAATAGGAAAAAAATTCAATGTTATGCTACAAATCACATACTGTTGAGAGCATCTCTTTGGGAACAGATCGAGACAGGGAAGGAAAGGAGGAGGATACTGAATAGGAGTGACCGATTTTTCTTGTTGATGTGTATTCATTAACCAGTCCCGTGTAAATAATATCTTAAATAAACATTACTCTCTCATTTTCTTACATCAATGTTAATAATAATATAAGCATGCCTCATTCTGTAAAGGGTCACACGTCATCCACAAGGACTTGTGACGCATATTAGCCTGACAAACTCATTTCTAGTCCACGATGATAGGCCACTAAAATTACATTACGGAGTATTTGATGCTGATGTGCATAAAGCTAGAAAGAAAACAAAACATCTGACTATTTTCCTTTCAATGGCACCCAAAGTGCATTTCATTCTCTAATGAAGGCTGAAAATTGCAACAGATCGAGCGAAAAAAAGACATCCGCTGGTTAATTGAATCATCACAGCTGAGCAGGTTTGAGATTAATTCCACGTAAGGAGAAGATCAAAAGAGAGCCACTCAGAAGGATGTCGAGACGAATAAGAATGCTGAGGCTTGTGGGATAATCCCATTAAGAGCTGCACATTCATTCAGAGTTATGATCCACAGTTGTAGGTATAGTATGTAAGAGATTAGGGTTAAACAGTCAGTGACGGAGAGTGGTCATACTTTTAGAAAAATGTGGTGTTATAATTCTATGCTGTCTGTATTAATCCCTTTTAATTATGAGCATCGACGAACCACTATGAAAGCTGTTTTAGAGTTTGCATCTGGAGCAAATTGGATTATAAAAAATAGAAGAAGTGCATGCGTCATTGCTTAATACTGATTGCCAGGAACATAATCTTAATGCTGAAATGCTCATACATGTTCAAATTGCTGTCATTTAAAGGTATATCAAGGACATCTCTGATTAAAATGCAAAGATTCCATCTAGACTTCATGTTTTTTTTTAGTTTTGATATAAGGTGGTGTATCTGTGTGCAGCAATATGAACATTTTACTTTTGGACATAATGTACATTAGTGTATGCTAAAGAAATACATTTTTCACTTGCAAGGATCAGTGCCATCCATCTATGTTTATCTATCATCCGTTCAGTTCAGGGCCAGATGTGGGGTAGAGCCTCTCCCAGCTGTCATAGTGTGAGATTTGGGGTATATCCTCAACGGGCCACCCGTCCATCACAGGGCTAACACAGAGAAGCAGGCAACCATTCATACTCATATTCACACCTATGGCCAACTTATATGTCTTTCAACTGTGGGAGGAAAAAACCCACGCAGGAAGAGAGGGTGTTTGCAAACTCCACCCAGAAAGACCCAGGCTTGCCGCTACACCAGATAGTGTGGTTGCAGGAGATGGCTGCCCTTCTGTGAACCTGGTCTGGTTTTGCTGGAAGTTTCTTCTTGCTTAAAAGGAGTTTTTCCTCTCCACTGTCACCAAGATCGTGCTTACTTGTTGGTGTTTTCTCACTAATACTGCAGGGTCTTTACCTCGCAGTATAAAGTGCACTGGAACTTCTCAACTGCTGTCACGATTCAGTGCTACAATAAATTAACTTGAATTTAATTGAATTAAATTTAATGAAATGCAATTCAAGTTCACGTCACTTAAATTCAGTCTCACAGAAACTCATAAAAATGCAGTAGCTCATAATCACTCTATGTATTAAGAGCCTGGCCAGATTAAAGCATTTCTCTCTTCAGCTCTAAAGAAAGTAGCATTAATCAGTCAAATGGATGGATGCCACAAAACATGCCAGTAAAGCAAGCCCTGAGGGAATATGCAGTTATATAATGAAATCGAAGTAGACCTGGAAAAGGAGAGCTGCTCACAAAAACAGTGAAAATGTGCTTCATCATGCAGTTCATATTTATTTCTTAAATCGTCGAGGCAATATAAAGAAAAGAGGCAGCAGGGATGTCAAACCAACTAAAAACCACAAACAACAAATTTTAATGACAAATAATTAAAAAGGAAAAAAATCCACTATCACCCATAACTTTAAGGAGAATATTCTTTTTAAATAAATAGGCTATGATCAAAGCTAACATAATAGCTTAATAAAATATTTGGCAAATACAATACAAAATACTTACTAATACAATTAGTTAAATGTGACACTTTCATTAAAGTGGTATTTTTTAACAGAGAGATGAATGACTGTGTGTGCTCACAAGTGTACATATGCGTATGTGTTGTGACATCTTATTCCACAGTGCAGAAGTTTTCCAAACTGTTCTCTCGGGCCTTGGGAAGCTCATTGTGTTCCAGTAGTTGGTACTGGAAGGAAACACGGTTGATATAGTTCCCACTGGACACGAGCCTCACCACTGAGTTATCACAACCAATCTTCATCTGGGCTGAAGGGCCACAAGGAGAGGAAAACACATACTTTACACTCTACCATCCAAGAATTTTTGTTCTGTAGCCAGCCCTACTTACTCTGGTTACATTGGCAGCAAAAACATTTACTTTGTATCTGTATTGCAGTATTTTTACAAGTAAAAACAGCAAATATATGTAAACATAAAATGTGAATTGCATTGGATATTTCACTATGTGGGATGTTTTTATTTTGTAGGACTCTTTTACAGCACATCATAATTACTAGTAAAAGTGTTTCTTGGACACAGTGATGGACACAGACTCACCGAGTCCACTGAGGGAGAAACAGAGGTCGGCCACAGGGAACATCTTAGAGGTATCCACCCCATTCCCTCCCAGCAGCTCCACATAGTCACCTGACCCTGAGCAGCCAGACCACGCCAGTCTCTGTAAAATAAATGATCAACAAAATATTTTGATGGTGAAGTCCAGATAAAGACTTTACTTTGTTACATAGAAAACTGCCATTAAAACTTCCTGTGGAGCTCTTTGGACCAATAAAAGTACTATATGTTAACCTGGAAAAGGCCAACCAAGTGGAGATGTGATTCCAGTGTTTCATGGTTCTCTATTGAGCAGGTGCTTGTAACACAATGAAAAAGTAATACTGCAAAGGATTCAAATGAAATGACTTCATTTGACTGAAAAATGTTTACACAAACGATTTTTGTAATATTTGAATTTGGAATACATACAGTTTTCCTCAGAATTTAAACAGAGGCAGTTAACAGGATGTTGTTTTTCAGATATTTAAAAATGAATATTTTACTTTATTAATTTATTATTTATTATATTACACCTTTATGAGCATGCTTTGTACCACTTTTCTCCTTCCCTTATTCATAGAGAGTTGCATTTCATGTAATAGCTTTTATGACTACTCATTACTTACTATTAATTAAGTAATTAATAAGTACTACTTAGTTATGTTTTTTTTTTTCCATTAACACATTTTCCATTACACACTTCAGCTCTTGTTAACGTTAGTTAACCTCACTTTTCTAATAGTGGAATTGTCATTATAGCAGAAATTGTAGTAATCTGGGAGCCTCTGCTTAGCGTCCTGGTTCTACCAGACACCAGAGAAGCTTCTCTGCATTGTTGTATTTATATGTAATGTATTTATATATTTGTTTGTTTATTTAACAGAGGCTCTGTCAAGCTGCACAGAGTAGATGAGGAGGGCAGGACATCAGGCACAGGAATGTCACAGAAAATCTGGTCAGTTTTCAAAATAAAAGATCCCGTGGAAACTACACCCTCTGCCCTTGCAACACTCTGTGTGATTTGAAGCACTTTACCGAACAAAACTGTGTAACAGATGAAAAGTCAAGGACATGGTGTATTTCAGGGGTAAATTTTCTAAAATTCATAAACTGTTATTAAAAATGTTTATTAGACTTATGGTTATTATTTTTGACTCCATTTGTCATTACTATTCCTTATTTAACATTAAAAACTGAGGATCATCTTCAAACATTTAGTATGAGGGTTTAACATTATAATCTACACACAATGAATAATATTTAGTTTAGCTAAAGTGGTTTGCTAAAACTCTTCCATCTATTAACCACAGTGATGTTTTCATTTAGTCTCATTAGACCATTTGCCATTGAGGATTTATTTTCTGTTTTCTTTTTTTCCACCTATTGGAGTGGGACTTATGAACACAGAGTAATTTACAGTGGCAGTGAGGCTCAGCAGCCAATTTGCCAAACATAACACTGTTTTTGGATGACTCTCCAAAATCCTGGATTACTTTCAATGACAATATTTTCAGTTGACTGTGGTATAATATCAGCATGTGGTGAATGCAACAGAAAATTGGAAACTATCCTAATAGATTCTGGTATGAATAGAATGGTCATCCATCTGTAATAGGACTAACAAAGTGAGACGGTGGACCAATCACATCATTCATGATATAAAATCACCAATTAACCCAGTTGTTCTCAAACTTTTTCTGGCATGCCCAACTTTAGTTTACATCCTTTTCCCTTAGTCTTCCATGCTCCAACTGCAGTGGCTCTGTTCTGAACCCGCCACACAGTTGGAGGACCACTGGATTAACCTAACCTACCATAACATACTTTTGAGCCTGAATACCTGAAGAAAGTCCTCTCTGGCACAATGAGAACATGAAATTCTACACTGAAAGGCTTCATTCAAGCTCCAGGCTTCACTTTAGTTTCAGTCTCATAACTGTTTGTTTTTCCATTTCCTGTGTTCATCAGCTTCCCTCTAGATGTAGGAAGATGACATCCCGGTGCTAATTACGCCTACTGAGCTCTGATCGATCAGTTAAAGTGATTTCCCCATTACAGTTAGGAAAATGAAATTAATAAATCTCTGTAGTTAAACAATACTTTATTAAATTAAAATAAAATTAAAATCAAAATTGCCAAGTACTAATAAAATTTGTGTGATGACATAGACAAACATGCAAATATTATTAATAGCTTTAATAAAAAAAATATATATCACACTCTGAATGCGTTTAAAATGTCCAGCTGAAGCTAAAGGTCTATTTAAAGTGTCAGAATTTGGCCTCAGTAAGATATTTATTTCACAGAGAAAAGAAGATTGTGTGTGTGTGACTGTGGGCACATGCATGCGTGTATGCATGTGTGTGATCTACCTGTGGACTTAGCTCATTGCTTTTGGCCTGCCCCAGGCTGAGTTCTGTCAGTCGGATCTCCACGGGGTAGATGATGGAGAAGCTGCAGTTCTTGCGCTGATGTGGCATCACCATGGTGAAGCTTCCCTCTGGACTCTGAGACATGATGTTACAGGCTTTCCACACGAACAAATCGACACATGCACAGACAGGAGAAGAGATTTCACATTTCTAGTTCTCCATAACCTGAGAAACTCATTACTGACACTTCACGTCACAAAGAGGACAGAATCAGCGGGTGGCAGCTGGAAAGGAAATCCAATTCTAGTTCTGATCACAGAACAGAAAGAAAGAAAGAAAAGTGAATTCATAAAAGCATTACGGAAAAGGGAGTCTGAAAATGCTGCCACTTTGTTCATATTGTTCCCTTCACATTTTTGTTGTAAAGAAACCGAGCTAATCAAATGTGAAGAGAGACGTTTGAATTGTTAATTAAACAATTAAATGTTGTATGTGTATCTTTTACATCCAATTTTTGGTAAGAGCCACTATCACAGTCACCATCTAGCTTACCATTGGTAAATATTACCCATCAGTAACGGTTACCTTACCATTTTGATCATTCATTCATTGTTACTTTTGCTTTTCCTCCATCAAACATTTATACATATCATTCAGTTTAAGTCAGTCTAAACTTTAGACTGTGGAGCTAGTTAACAATTTCAGTCATTTATCCATACTTTTATATAGCTGTTAGCTCCATTCTGTTTGCCAGCCAAACTTTTAGATTTAAGGAATGTTCTAGAAACACTCTGACTTTTATTATGTATTAAATGAGTAACACTGTTATGTTGCATGGAATATGTGAGGTAGCTTTATTGTCACTTTGATTAGATCATATATAAGGCCTAAACTGCAGACGGTTGCACTTAATGGTGAACAAGGGGATAAACCACTGTTAACCTATAAATAATTAATTGAAACTGCTGGGTTTTTTTTTTTGTCTGCAGCCTTTATTTCCTTGTCTTTGTCTTACAGCCAGACGGTGACAGTTATGTTTCTTGACACAATGTTAACGCTGTGTTTGTCAAACAGCTGGAAAACAGGTGCATCCTTCTCACTCAATTCGTTACGCTCGCTCTTGGCCTTGATTAAAGCTCGACCAAGCACAAATGTCCAGGAAGTACACTCATGCGTGCACACAAATGTACCCCTCATTTCACAAGACATATAAAAAAAACAAAACAAAAAAATAACACAAATCTTTTACGCGAAGACTTGAAAGTGTTTTAATGTTTGGTTTTAGATGTTTTGGCCACAAACTGATCTTAGTGATGCATAACAAGACTCACGGAAAGGGTTGTATAGTTTCTTGACAGCGAGGGTGAAGCCACTAGCAGGGCTGTGAATGCGAAAGAAGATCATGGCAACATTCTGAGAAGAGCGGCTGGTGGCTCCTGGTGCTGTGGAGGAACAGTAGTCTGTGTAGCGCTCGTAGAGGGGTAAATGATGGTCCTGATTGCTGGGGAACTTCTCTCCCTTCAAAACCCAGCCATCAAATATCTTGAAGAGGAACATATGATATGTAGTAAATACAAAAATTAATGCCTTTACTTACTTAATTTCAGCACACTTATTCCACACCTTCACATATAAAACATGAAGCAGTGTCTGAAAATACAAGGCATAAATTTTTAAAATGTGGAAGAAGCCAAGGACAGCTAGCATGTCCAAATTAAGCTGTTAACTATATGACTAAGAGATAACTCATCAGCTTTATGTAAGAAGCCAATTCGCTTTTACAGAAAGAAACAAGCAATCTAATTGCCAAGATTTTTCCCCCTATATCATAGGTGTCAAACTCTGGCCCGCGGGCCAAATTTGGCCCGCAGCCTAATTACATTTGGCCCACGAAGCCATACCAAATTACTATCAGAGCTGGCCTACTGGTATTATACAGCTAATATATATATTGTTTAGTATTAAGCTTTGCTTGTTCCATGTTCAGTTTTTCAGCTAAACTTGTTTGAGCACATAAGAAAAGATTCATTCTTATATCTGGAGGAATAAATATATTTCAATAAATACTAACGTTAGCCCGCAACTTTGTTCCAGTTTTGAATTTTTGCCCACTGTGCATTTGAGTTTGACACCCCTGCCCTATATGTTTCTTTCTTGCATGCTGACAGCAGTAAGTGAACTGGAGTCACATTCCTGGTTTGTGTGCACAGACTTGGTCAAATAAAAATGATTCTGATCCAGTGGGTTGGTGAAAACAAATCTTTGTGTTTTCTATTCAACTTAAGACATGAATCATCATGTTTTATTGGGTAATCCGACATGCCATACAGCACATTCTACACTACTGTGCTGTGAATAATATTTAATTACAAGCATAATCCAACATGAATTTCATTCTAAAAATATTCTGTAAATCTCATGTCTTAAAATGAGGTGTGCTGTTTTGTTTTATTGAGCACATTAATCCTACTAATATTTACACAAATCTGCTCTTGGTTTCTAGATCACATGCATGTAAACCTAGGCTTTATGAAATTCTAATGTCCCCCTTTCCCTATGCCATGAACTGAAATCTGCACTGGCAGGCTTGGCTTCAGAACTAAAGCCTTCTCTTCCCACTCTTGCTCTGAGTAATGTGACCAATGCAGAAAGCATCCAGTGTGGTGTTTGGCCCTTAAACGCCGCCTTAACCCTGTTTGGCCTAATTTCAAATGCACAGGAAGAAGATGAAATAGAATTCAGAGTTTAAACCGAAAAAAGCCTTGGAGTCCCTGCCTTTCACTTAAAAGAGGGGTTGGATATGTGTGGGGGCTATTTTTAGTGTGTGTGCCAACCTTTATGAAGTCTCCAGCGCTGCAGTCGATGCTGACGTCAGACAGCTCCAGACTGATGACTTCACTGGGCTCAGCTATGATGAAAGCTGCACATGCCAGCTGTGGCTTTGATGCCACAAAGGTGAAGAGGCCATCAGTGGCCAGCATGTCCAAGCATCCTACAAACCACACACACAGTCAGTTTTCCATTTCAGACCAAAAATACATTTAAATATTCTAGAGACTAGTACTTAGAGCTTTTCTTCCCCAGCTGAGCACCCAAAGCACTTTTTATTACAAGTCTTATTCACCCAAACTATTTTTTTGGTCAGCTCAGGGTTCAGCATCATACCCCAGGATACTTCAACACGTAGAATGGAAGAGTTGGGGATCAAACCACTGCCCTTCCAAGTGCTTGACAGCCCATGCTAACTCCTGAGCCACAGTTGGTCCCTAAGCCCAACTATAACAACTTTTCGCCTAACTCTTAAACTTTAACTTACGTTAACTAACCTTCGCCCAGTCCCAAACCTACCCTGACCACACCAAGTAACCAAAGTAGAATTAAAGATTAAAAACCAAACTGGATTGGTCCCCATAAGTGACTATGAAATATATACACTCCCAGAATACAGGTGAGGCAAACACACATATGAACACACACACACAGCCAGATACATTACATTACACATATATTGGGTTCAGAAAACATACTGGATTTGAGTTTAGTCTTAATAATTTCTCATGAGGTCAAAGTGTTACTCAGAGGACAGCATCAGTTTTCATTTAAAAATGTTTGCTTGGATTAATGCATGAATTATCTAACGTGTTTAGTAGCCTATGTTCTAATTAAGTGACTGAATGGGCACTGGTGCATAAATAAACATTCACCCAATTACTGTTTTAAATCCAGCAATTGTTATAATTCGGTGATTTAAAGCTATTTTTAAGCAGTTCTTACTGAGAGGTCGGCGGAAAATAAAATCCTCTGATTCTCTTTTCTGGGCCAAACTCAGCAAAGAATATAATCCATCTGAGGCTTCGTTGTCCTGAAAAGAAGAAGGAAAACAAACAAGTAAATACAAACGAACAGAAAACCTAAGATTTCATCTCTGGGCTGCTCATAAAAACTTGACAGACATGAGTTCAGACTGCCTCACTTGATCAAAAATTCCACTTTGCTCGACTACAAACGCGACCTTACCTCGATGTAGCGAGCGAGCCCCATCCTTAATGAAACGCAGATAAGAAAGAGAAACAGCTGTGTGCGCAGAGCCACCGACATGCTGAAGTGCGTCTCTCGAGGAGTGTGTCCTGAAGCTGAGGGGAGAATAACGGAGCTGCCTGTGAGATCGCAGCTTTTATAGCAGCCCAGACAGGCAGGCAGGCCGACATCAGAGGGTTAGTGACAAACATTTAGCCGTGCGGACTTAAAAATGACTTTGATAATGAGTGAATAAAAGCGGTCATTCAAGGCTGTTTTTAGGGAATTCAGATGTTTAGAAACTAATAATTACTGCGTATGAATTCATTGGAGGAAATGCAATACTTGAAACATGTCAGTGTTTATTAAAATCGCTACACAGCTTAACATTGAGTAGACAGGCTAACATAGTGCTTTGTGGTCAATTTGGTGACTCTTCATTGAAAAATAATAGCTCGTGGGACATATTTGAACTGCCAAATACTGTTGGTATTGATTCTTCAAGTCTCAGGAACACTGATAAGAGGGATGAACCGTATTTTTTCCCCAAAGGATATTCCCTCATTTGCTGTTTTGATGGCCATGGTGGTGCTGGAAACACATTTGTCCAGAAACTCTCATTGTGTTCAGTAAGGTTGAAATCTGTTAACTGCTCCAGCAAAACTGAATAATTCACGTTATTTACATTACAAATAAGTCCTGCTGTGACATCTCTTGTGTTGTCACCCTGGATGGGACCACTCCCATAAGGATAGAAATGATTCACTATAACTGCATAACTGGGTAGGTAGGATTACTAGGATCACTCCGAACAACTTTATTTTGATTTGCAGTGATCCTTAACTCTAAGGAGAAAAATGCACTCAAACAATGATAGCAAAATACTCCTGAGCTATTACAGAGGTTATGGATCCCCCTTACAGTGGAGGTCAAGCATTCATGCCTGTACCAGTCTCTTTCTGTGCGTCACATTTGCCCTGTGACGTGATGAACGATGACTCATCTGATACCACTTCTCCCACATGTGTCTCTAGACCAGTGCCTCTGGGTTTTGCACCACTGAACTCTTCAGTGTGCATTCATCTCTGTAATAAGGATCGAAATGAATCTTAATACAATACGACTCTATTTTTTGATGGACTCTTCTTACTGACACAGTCAGGAGGAAGAACTCCCGCTTTATTTTTACTTGCATATCACACTAATGCAGGAGCATCACAATCATCAAATAGGCAATGTCAGACCAAATATTCTGTGTTTCTGTAAAATTTCCATAGATCTAAATGCTGATGTCACTTCACCATTCCTATGAAAACACCTGTTAATGGAATAGGCTATTTGACTGAAGCACCTGCCATCTGTGCCCCAACAATAAGCCCTCTTATAAAGTCCCTTCGATATTTTCCTCTTGCCATCTTGATACAAAAGCAGAACTGAATGGGCCTGCTCTGAATTTTTATAGATGACTGGATGTTAACTGCTTAATTGTATGGTGCAGTGGTCCAGGGTGGAAGCATCTGCACTCTCCACTTTTTCCTGCAGTTTGTCACACAAATGGATATATTGAGACTTTGGCGGAGAGAAAATGAACCTCATGCGCTCTTTTATATATACACTTTTCGGACATGAATGCTCAGATTGCAAAAGTCATGAATTCTCAGATGTCCTTTGAGATACTGAATGAGTCAGAGTTTATGCAGTGCCACTCATGAGTCAACCTTCAGCTAAAGAACCACTTTCAATTTGGTTTCAGTCTATTACATTTGCCTGACATTTGGGCATCGGGGAGCACAGAACTGCAGTGGTTAGTGCTGCTACCTCACGGTGACATTGCCATGAATCTTCTAGCTTGGTTTAGAGTTTTTCTGAGCATGTATGTTCTCTCTGTGCACCTCAACAACCTCTCACAGTTCAGTGAAAAGCATGTTAAAGTGTTCACTGATCCTAAATCGAGTTTTTTATTTGAATTATGAGCTGAAGTGTACTCTGACAAGTGGGATAGGCTGGAGTTACTGCTTATTTTGTGTTTTATCCCCATTTCCAAAATGCTGCATTTAAGTACAGTAATTTGATTGCATGTAAATTTTCGATGCCATTGTGTTGCATACGTTCAATGTAAAATGTTGATGGAATTTGGTCGAAAGAAATTTACTTGATTGATAAACACTCAGTTTATACCAAGCATCTTTTCCATAATGATTAATTATTTGAATTAATACATCTTTGATTCTATATAAAGAATCTTTTCTGTTCCTGCTTCTGCTTTCTGATCAGCAACTTGTGGCCTGATGGGACTAATATGTGCGACAACTTTTGACTCACTTGCTGGTTACTGTTAACTCATTCACTGCCATTGACGTCTATAGCCGTCAATTGCAGTGAATGAGTCAATGGGTTTAACTCATTCACTGCCAATGGCTGGCAGTGAATGAGTTAAGACTTAAGAGACATCTGTGACAACTGTGACAACTATCTTTTTAAGGACGTGTTTTAGCTCCCCGTCTCTAATAAAGGAATAGTGAGGAAATGAGGTGTTTCTCTGCAAGAAGTCTGAAGTCTGACTTACTGACTGAGGTCAGTTAGTCAAACACTCATCAGATTAGAGAGGATAATTAGAGAGAGGATGATTTTTTATATTTCACATAGCAGTTTGATAGAAGTTTGATAAAAGGTGCTTTGTGTTCCACTGTTTCAGATACTGCAAGTAGACCTCTATTAGACTGAGTAGAATACCACCAAATTTTGCCACAGATTTGTGCTTGTGCTATAGTCTGCTTTCTTCTGTGTTTAGAGAGATATAACCTCTTTGCTTAGATTTTTATTCATTCATTTTACTTGTTTTTGCTGGCCAATTTGACAGCCAGGAAATCAAAATGGACAGCTGTGGTCTAAATAACATCTTTGGACAAAGTGAGAACAAAATGAGCAGTGAGTCATACCGTATACTGCACATGAAAAAAGGAAAAAGACCGGAATATGTGTCCGGAAGGAGAAAGTAAGAAAGAGCCAACAAGGGAGAGCGAGAGTCTGCGATGTAGTTCAATTTGTTTTGACATAGGAAAGTCATTTAGAGTTGACCACTTTTAGCTGCCTGTGCTGCCGCTGTGAAAGGTCAAACTCAGATGTAGCTGAGTGTAAGAGATGATGATCAGCCTGTCAGCGCTCATACACACATCTGATAAAATAGCCCTCTCTTTCTGTCATTCATCTGAAATGAAGATGAGAGACTGTGCGTAAGTGCGCCTTGAGCTAATTACAGCTGACATTTTTTTCCATCGTTATTAAGGTCTACGATGCCACACAGAACAACAAACCACAAAAAATAATGAACATAATGAATAACATTTACTATAACAGCCTGTCAGCCTGTTGACTTTTAATGCTGATGACCTATTCGAGGTGTGTTACTTTCATCTAAAAGCCAGTAGTCAGTGTTAATAATTAGTTGCCTCACAGAGTCATTGCGTTGTGAAGATGCCTCAACCTATTAGCCAGAGTCTCACTGTTTAAAGTGTGTTTTGCTAATCTGAATGACACCACAGGAAAGGGAAAATGCTCGCAAAATGCTACGTGGTGAGTGCCCATGTGTGTGTATTTCCTGGTGTTAAATGCTCATCCCTTAGCAATTTCATGTCATGTGATGTGTGCGTATGTGTGATGCGGAGCTGTGATACATACTGTAATTGTTAAAATCCAATTTATTAAATGAATTGATAGATTTTAATGAACACGTAACCCCAGAGTCTGATTATACTGCTCTAAATGATGAACAGATACAGCAATTCCCTCAGTGCTGGCCTATTTGAAGAGTTCATTTTCTAATCTAATAACCATATTTAACAACCACTCTTCCCCTATTACCTCCCCCAGTGTATCACCCTGACTGAATGAAGGGTGAGAAAGAATGAATGAATTGCCATCCTGTGCTACACATGGATGAACTTTCTCTGTAAATGTGTTATTCTTGCGGAACCATAAAAATACAGTACTAGCATGACTAAACCAACAGCACACAAGAATATCCCAGTAATTGTGATATGAAAAAACGGACAGAAACCCCCCCCCCCCCCCCCCCCCCCCCCAGTACATTTGAATATTAAAATCAGAACATCAAATTCAGATGTGTTTAAAATGTTTTAAATTTAGATACCATAAATATCATCACTAAGAAAAACAAGCGAGGAGCCAGCTGCTTCTGTCTTCACCAGACAAAAGGCTACAACACCATCTGGTGGCAGATGCAGAAACAGGTCTATTTTTGCTTCAAGAAATGCACGAATCAGTGGTAACTTCTCAATGATGCTCCAAGTGGCAATGACAAATCCTTCCCACAGTTTTCTCAAAAATGCAACTGATTTGGTTTACCAGGATTTTCCTAAAGATAGAAGCAGTTTAAAAAAAACTTAAAGGAGTGTGATTTGCTGTATCTGGGATGATTGTCCCAGCTGGCAAGATGTGACAGTCACCCCTCCATGTGGTTAAAGTTAAATCACAGTGATTGTTGACTGCAGACATTAGTGTCTTAACCCTGTCTTACTGCCCAGCATGCAACCTCCTTTTGAACACCTGCTCCCTGGCAAACGTACACATGTAGCTAAGTATTTTTGATTTTTTTCTTCATTGTGTGTTGCCTCCTTTACACACACAGGAACACACAGTTCTTGTGCGGATCTGTCTGTCAACACAGCGGTCCAGCCCGGCTCTCCCCACTGCCTGACTGACCCATTCATCTCCCGTGTGGGCTGTAATGAGCTGACCCTCCCCATTTGGACCAACCTGACAGAGAGAGATTACTTTAAAGTCTGCATGGATTTTCTCCTTTGTCCCCTCCTCCCCATTCCTCTCCCTTGAAAGTGGCTAATTCAAAGTGCATTAATGAGGAGCGATGGATAACACACTCTTCTTTTAATTACCTTCCAACCAAGTTCTTCAGGGGAGGTCTGGTGACTCCCATCTGACACTGGCCTGTTTATTTGGTTTGGTTTTTACCATGTTAGACTTTTGTGTGATGCATTATGTAGTCAGAAGAGATCATGCTGAAGCATTTATGGGTTATAGGGACAACACGTTAAAAAGAAAAATAATAAATGCACAAAATACATTTAGATAAAAACAGTTTTTTCTTAACGTACATCTTTT